CACAAATACATAGGACCTAGTATGTCTTTTTTTCTAATCTTATCGTAAATTCACACATAATGTGTACAAGACAGTGGGAGAGAGTAATACATACAGTCAGATCATGGAAGATAAGGAATCTCAAAGCTCTTCTTGTATGATTTTTCTGTTGTAAACAAATACTGAATGAAACTTCATCAAAAGGTATAATTCAAGCATTAAAATATTTCTTCATGTATAATGCCAATATTTCGGAAAGAAGAGGATGATAGTATTACATGACAGCGTGGAATAATCAATGTGCTAACCAAAGCATTCATTTTTTTTAAATTCTTCATGGTAAATTTCATTATTTATAATATCCACAGTTGTGTTCAATTTTCAAGTCATGGTTTTCTTTCTCTTGGCTCTTAAACGCTCAACACTTACTATGCTTCTAATTATCAAACGTTCTATTGTGGGCACATAAAAATCATGCATGCTTACTATTGTAAATTGTAAAATTATTTTATGATTCATGGTAATGTTACATTTAAATCTGCTAATCACAGATACTTTGTTATATAAAAGCCCTTCACCGGAGTAATTGTATGTATGGTGAAAAATTCTCGAATGGAACGTAAAATAACATTACAATTAATCTTTTTTTCTCAGCTTTTACCAGAGATAAAGGTAAGAAAAACTGTATTTTAAAATAGGAAGGGACATCTATGTTGTATACCATCCTTACCATGTCATATATGAACAACCAGACGAGCGAATAAACTTAGTTCAACCTTTACTCTTAGAAAAGAGTTCTACGCAAAATGAACAAAGGATTAAAATATTAATCTTTATTCATAAAACATATTTATTGATGAATTTAAATTCTTTCAACATATATGTTCAAATAATACAATATGAATGAAGCTGTGAAATAACAAAATATGAACACTGACATGACATACATGTATAAAGTATTTGATCTTTCATATCCTTTTAGATTTATATTACATTCTTAATAACTAATAAGGTTTACAAACTTAGTTACAAATAAGGTTTAGAAAACTTCATTAGCTTGAAATAGAGTATATCCTCTGCTCTATCTCTCTTAAAGCTTGTTGCATTAACTTATAATAATTAACATGAAAAAATAGTTTATTGCTGTGAAAAAGAGTTGCAAGAATTTACGTCATCAAAAAGAAGATGTTAAACAATAATATTAGTAATAATTATCGAAAAGAAGTTTGATTTTACATCTTTTTTCATTGAAAGACTGATAAAGCTATTTGTCAAAGCATACATACTTTTTTGTTACATATTGAACATTAACAAATTTATCTACATTTTCGATGTTCATCTTCTGTGCATATTTTTCCCCAGTGACCAAGCTCTTGCATATTCTTTTGATTTTTGAGATCAGTCAATCATTGTAATTCAGTGCACTATTTCTTAACCTTGCATCATTTACACTTTCCTTGAACATAAGCATTTTCTGTGAGTTTTACTTGACCCACTGCAATAAAATTGTTCATTTCAAGCAAAGATGTGAACAAAGTAGGCAAAGTATATACAGTCCATGTTTTGTTTTAGCGTGGTCTCAGTTTTCTGGTTCGTATGGACTTGGGACCACCTCACAAAGAAGCTGAACTCCCGTTGTTAACCCCTCTGAAATAGTTAATTAATTTGGTTTAAATTCAAATTTTACAACGAATTATGTTTCACTGATGGTGTTTGGTCTTTTCTCAGTTTCATAAAAAAGTACTTTCAAAAGTATTTCACAAATGAATCATTAAATACTTATTGAATAATTTTAAACAAATATTGCAATCTTAATAAAAGAATACAGAAAATACGATTCGAATGGTAATAACTTTAGAAAGAAACATTGTTAAGTTTTGTTATACATGTATTTAATTTACTTTCTTTTGAAACTCGATTGTGAAGTATTTTGCCTGTATGAAAAACTATTCATTTCTTACCAAAACCTTTAATTTGGAGCTTGAAATAGACGAACGGAAAATAAAAGAGGAGTCCTCCAATAATGAATAAGAACGCATAAAGGAGTTCAATTTGTGGATCTTCTATGATTGGTCCAATAACAAGGTATATAGCGATCAGCACAAAGAGAATGGGAATCACAATAGGAACCTAAAATTACATCAAATACAAATATCACGAAAAACTTTACATTAAAATTAACTTCATTTTTTATACTAGCCATTAAAGATTATTCCGTAATTCTTCAAAACATTTAAAAGAATCTTTTGATCTGTGATTACTGCCTAAAATATTTTACCTTAATAGGCCTCTCGACATCTTTCTTTGTGAACCGGAAGATGATGAGGCACGTGACAGTCAGACCATAAAACAACCAGGCGGAAAAACTAAAGAAGTCTACCAGTGACCCAATGTTTCCAGGTATTATCATAATCAGGGAAATCACAATCTAAAACAATGAAACAAACAACCAAAAACTAAAGAAGTATTCCAGCAATCCTGTGTTTCCGGGGATTTGATATCATAATAATGGAAATCACAATCTAGATCAAATTTTAAAAATATTAGAGGTACTGTAATCAATGAGCTCACTAAATAATACCCCTAATATATGAATATAATGGCAGTGTCCATGTTTTGCTATGGGAAACCCAAAATATGTGTCGGATCAAAAAGTAAAATAGGAGGTGCACAATGGCATTTTTTAATAAATATTATGTGAAAGTTTCATTTCATTTCATTCAGCAGTATGAGAGGAGTTGCGGATATGAGATGGGTACCCCAAAGCGTACCAAACAGACGGACAGACCGATTACTTTATACCCTCCCGCTTTTCAAGCGGGGGGTATAATAAAAAAAACTCAAATAGTAATCGTACAAGTAATACAGTATCGCCTGTATTATCATCATTAGGAAAAAATGTAAAAGAAAAATCAGTAAATGAATGAATTAAAAAAAAAGCATTTAAATGATAATAATCCCACTCTAACACAAGTGATGAATAAGTAATCCAAAATACAATTCAGAAAGTGAAAGGCAAGCATATTCATGAAGTCATCTCACTCGTACTTACTGTAAATATCACCGAGGGAAATGGCGTGTAATATTTACAATGCACGTATGACAACATCTCTGGAAGGTGTCCTTCTCTACCAGCTACATACACAACTCTAAAAATGTGAGAAATACATTATTTATTAAAGAATCCGCAAAAAAATATAGAGATTAGTCTTTCATTTATTAAACATTTAAGTCTTTTCTTTATCAAACATTCCGTAGTTTGATTATACCTTCCACCACCAAACAAAGTTCCATTTGCAGCACCAAACGTGGAGAACAACACGGCTAGAGGCATCAATGCGGCAGCTGCTCCTAGGACGCGGTCACCCCAGGTCTGTAGAAACATGAATATTGTATACATTGTATTATTATTAAATTTTAGTATTTAAAAAATCAGAGTATGAAAAACATACTAGGAATATAAAAAATTTCAATATGTTTTGAAGAGATGAATTGCGATTATAGAGAACTTTATATTCTAGATACACACCACAGCCACAGCCGATGAGTTCAGAAGCTCCGTTGAAGTCATGACGGTGAGATAGGAGATGTTGACCAATAGATAAATGATGGTGGTGATCATCACACCCAGAACGTTAGCTCGAGGAAGGTTTCTGTGCAAATAGTTTGAAAGGAATAGAGGAAAGAAAAATGTTTCGGTAAAGTTCTCCAAGACATGGCCTATACGATACAAAGATACATTTGTTGTACATCTCTTTCATTTTTGGACATTTGATAGAACATTCGTGGGCCAACTAACAATTAAATTGCTTTTACAATCCAGATTACCTCAGCTTTTCCATCGTCAACTGATGCCAAAATAATGGTTTTTAGTTTTTCGTAAAAACACGTTGTATAACTCGCACTTATTGATGCTATTGTATTTGGAAACATTGTGTAATTTCGATGTGCCAAAGTTCTTATAAAGTAAAGTATTTAAAATTCATCCACTTTAACAGGAAAAAGACATCACTTAATCTTTTTTCTTAAAAGAGAAGGCATTAAAATGAATAATACTGAAAATATTCTACGTATAACTTTAGAAATCTTAAGACGAGTATGTGACTTAGGTCGCAAATGAGGTTATGTGTTGATTGCAATACTTTGACAGTGGATAAATTCTTCATTAATATCTTACATACTTAGCTGGATTTTTTATTTCTTCTGTAACATAATTCAGGTTATTCCTGTAAAGGAAAACATTTTATAATGGGTTGTCTTATGATTGTATTCATATGTGTTTTATGGTTTGCAGACAATCAAACTACCATCATGTAGAAAAATTTGGAAAAGAGCTCGCAGTTTATAATTCTAAATGCATAAATAAATACAGTATAGTATTGTGTTAATTACTAGGTTAAAACTAGGTTTCTTGAATTTGCTGGGAAGTTTTAATAGCGTTCATACTCACCAGCCATCGTAAGCCCACAGTGCGTTGTAAAACGCCAGAGCAATGCTGGAAGGGGAGGTCGTTGTGCCATCAAAACTGTTTTCAAATTGAGACGTGTTTCCTTTGGAGACACAACAAATGTTATTCTTTTAAGTAATTTACTCTTGGCAAATTAACTCAATCAAGATTCTAGGTTCATCGTAATAAACAGGTCGTACCTTGAATGAGTTTGACGATTCCTCCGACAACAATGACGACAAGTGCTATTAGTTTGACGGCAGTGAAGAAGACCTGAGTTCTTCCTGCCAGTGTTGTACTGTAACTGTTGATGACTCCCAGGGATACTATTGTAATAAATTAGTAATAGTAAAGTGGATTGGAATGATTCTGGAATTGTCCAATCCAACCATTGTAGATTTAGCCAATCAACGTTACATGTACATTTTAACCAACCAGAGTTCACTAATTATTGATTTAATTGTAGCTGATTTTTTTCATATTATTCGTTGTTGTTAATTTATCAATGTTGTTAACTAATCATTATTCAGATAGGACCCGTGTTATAACAATCCAAATTTTATAGTTGTCATTGTTAGTGGATAGTCTGCATGAAGTTACGTAAGTTTTGTTTGATTTTAAATGATAAGTGTGATTCTTAGGAAGTAAAATTTAGCAAACCCAATTATTTATCATTGTACACAGTTAAAATGTTACACTATCAAGGAAATTATTCATTTAAATAATAGAGTATGTTCGAAATAATTCATCTTATAGTCATGCGGTGAATCGAATGTCAGCACAGGTATATGTGGAGGGAAAAACTAACCAATGGCAAGAGCAGCAACAATTTTCATCGGGATGACTGGTGATCCACAATACGGGAAAAAGGTAGCCATATATTCGCCAAAAGTCAGACAAATGATAGCCATAGAGGAGGTTCGAACCACCATGACAGATGTCCACGCGAACAGGAAGGCAGGAATCTCTCCAAGAGCCTCCTTAATGTACACATACTCCCCACCAGATTTCCTTATGACAGTTCCCAACTCAGCGTACGACAATGAACCTGATAAGTAAAGAAAATTTGATGAGTAGTAGGATTGGTACTTACCCCCATTTAATGCTGTTGGTTGTGGTGAAGATAACCCATAGTTAATGAAATGGAAAACATAATTCATGTACAGATTAACAAAAGAAATTATACCTAACTATCTTTATGGTACAAGGATTGTTACTAGGTTTAATATTTTAAATCAGAGGACAATATAAACCCATACCAAGCAAGGCTAAGAATCCACTGGCTACCCAGACAACAAGGCTTAGTCCGACAGACCCGGTCCTGTCCAACACGCTTTTTGGTGATATAAAAATTCCAGATCCTACAAGCAAAGTCAAACCACAGTTACATAATGTTTTGAATTGACATTGATATTTTGTTTGAATTTCGGGAAATATTGTAAGAGCAATATCAACATGTGTATGATGCGGAGAAAAATAAAAATATTTACAAGACATATATTTTTCTTCAGAAAGAAAGTACGTTCACCTGTCTATCATCAATTATGTTTAAAATAAATTTATCAATATTAAAATGGAAAGAGTATAAAATAATTGATCTTTGTAAAGTAACCTGTTTTATGAAATACTTATGTTATTATCAAACAGAACTCAAATTGTAACATTAAAAACACACAAGTACATGGATCAGCTAACGATTCCTCTGCTACCACGCAACTCTCGTATGTTGTGTTTTATTACCCTCTTGTAACGGTTACTTTGTTTTAAATTATGTCTTGCATGTCAACTGCTATTTTACCTATGATGGTGCCGACTATCAGAGAGGTTCCGCTGATGAGTCCGACATTTTTCTTCATTTGGACCCTCTCGGGCACTATACTGACATCACTAGTGTCCTGCGACTCTGAACTGTCTGTCAAATATCTTTTTCGGGTTCCATTCTCAATTACTCCTCCATTCGTTTCAGAATCTACCATGTTTAAAAAACGACTTTTAAGTTTATTTTCAATATTAGGCTAAAACAGTTTATACATGTTAATCTTTGGTTGATTTTATTAAAAACCTTTTTAATTGCTGATTAGAAACTAACCTCCCACCTCAAATTCAGTTTCTAATGTCGTCAATTATAGTACAAAGAAATAGATATGAATATATATGACTGAACATAAAAATCTTGTTTGAAATTTTACTTACTTTCATATGCCTTATTTTCCATGATTCAAGAATTTATTTATGAAGCCATTTACATACTGCGTTGAATACAATTTGTGTTTACTTCGGAAGAACTCGTCATGTTTGATTTGTGGGGTCTTATCGGCATTCCGCGTCGAATAAGGTGACAGTCTTGAATGAACCCACTTATCTACCCGAATAAATTGGTCTTGGACGACTTTTAAACATTTTCATTGATCTTGTACATCGCTGTTCTTATCACAACAGGGATAAAGGCACGGTTACGTAATAAATAGTCATTGTAAACAACAAAAAAGTGATTTTGCATAAATTCGTAGTGATAAACTTAATCACCTGAAAATTTAAAAAAAAAAAAAAGAAAAGAAGATAAAATATCAGTTACGAATATCCCGATCATATTTCCTCGTTTTTAGTGAATTTAAATTTTCAATACATTTGAAAATCAAATCATTTAAATGTTATTGGTAGACAGTGTGATTTTTTGGAGTTGCGTCTTGCAGAATTTCAAAGGAAGACTCTTCCATTATTTATTTGTTTGCTTTCAATACATTTAAAAATCAAACCATTTAAATATTATTGGTAAACTATGTGGTTTTTTGGAGATGCATCTTGTAGGATTTTAAAGGAAGGTTCTTCCATTATTTATTTATTTGGTTTATTAGATTTTATACTTCGAACTGATATACATGTAATGCAAAGATAACTAAATTCCGATCAGTATGAGAAGCAAATCCACTGGCACAAACATGCATCTTCCGAAATTTCGGGATGAATAAAAATAACCCTTTTTGCTGTTCTAACATGAGGTCTCCACTGTCTGCGTACAAGACTCAGAAGGGTCGATTTAACTTTGATAGTATTTGATGAAAAGGTCATTGTATCGACATAGTAGTTGCAAAATGATAACTTAATCTAAATGAGACTATTGATGATTTTGTTTCATAAACATGTTTGATAATTATTTACTTCGCTTTGGAAATTGTTCGTTCGTATAGAACCAACTGAGAGATATAAACTCCATATGAAGGTGATAAGGATACAATTGCAACATAAGTAAGATAGACTAACGATTGAAAAGTTGATGTCATCATGTTCATCATACATTTTTGCTTTAGGTCCCAATTAACATCTTTATCTGATAAATATCCAAATATGAAACATACGAGGGACGTTCAATAAATAATGTCATCGGGGCTCGGAAAGAAACAAAAAAAAAGTTGTTTTTCTAAGTTTGGGAAATGAAACAAGTCAAAGGTGGAAAGATCTGGCAAATTTTGTTGGTGTGACAAAACATTGACCGTCATGTTTATCCCCCAAACTCCTTTACTCTTCATAGCCTGTGGGTTTGAACGCTAACATGGAGTAGTTAATGTATTGAATTCCTCATTCTGTTTCCTTCATCTCATAAACCTTTCATTTTTTTTAGCAAAAATTTGTTTTATAGACTTCTCCAGAGAGTTAACTTCCTTCCCGAATATGAATTTGAACAACAATACCGCTAAAATTTTAGAAAATAGCATATAAAACTGTTGCTGTGCTCTTGCAAGTCTTTGCTCTTCTTAGGCCTTTGCATTTTTGTTTAGTGCATCTTATTGATAATTTGTTTTGAGGGTTTAAAGCAAAATGGACTCAAGTTTCATTATCTGTTTGAATTTCACGCAAACGTAGATAAGTACAATTTTTGATTTTTTAAAAATAATTGTTTTTATATTCCTACACGCTGTCGTTTTCACTCATTTTTCAAAATATTGGGTGACCTTTGAGTATTAAACTTTTTTACTATCAAATGTTTCTTTAAAATAGTGTGATCTACCCCCAAAATGGTGTCTATCAATTTTGCTATGTGTCTTACAGTCAATAAAACATAATAAATGATACTTTGTTGAATTTTCGCCAATATACATTGGTTGTTATAGTTCCTTGTTGCCAAGGACGGTACCCAGTTTTGATGCCCATTATGTAATTTTTGTTCATTGAAATCTACTTGTTCACATGTCAGACATTGGTTGCTGTAAATTTCACATATTTCAGTTAATATATTTTTGGGATATTAACAAGTTTTACAGTTGCTTAAATGAGACTTTTAATTTTACTCTAGTTCACTAATTCTTGACCATTCGTTTTTAATGCATTGTCTCGACTACCCCTTGTTTTCCAGCTTCCAACAATGAAATAATGCGATGAAAAGTGGTCACATAAACTGTTATCAATTCATTAAAAATTCATTAATGAGAGAACGTCAAGCTTAATGTCATATGATTTCTATGTTTTATGTCATCGAGCTAATGACATTATTTATTAAACATCCTTCGTACGTGTATGACTCTGAAATAGCTTTTATTTCAAGCTCACTGAGATATATCGTGTTGACATATGAATGGAAATAACTTTTGTGAATACATTGACGATGTCTTTAGATGTCGGGGAAGACCCTGTAAGTGTTTTCTTCTACACGTGTACAAGAATTTTGCAAGCAATATTAAGAATTACTTTTATTTTTGTCTTCTTGACGTCTTCAAGGTTTTAGCACGACATAAAACTTTGACTTAAGGTTAAGATCTTCATACTCCAGGGGTCTGGTCAAAAACCATATATATATTGTCAATCACAAACACTTTTGTCTTTTTGACATTAACTTCAAAAAGTGTACAATCAGAATGTTTACCAAGAATGATTTTGAAAAATGACTAATGACAAGGTTATTGAATTAACGAGTTACTTTTTATTGAAAAAAAGCAGTAAATGATGTCTAAAAGCCTACACTTTAATTTTTCATTGAAGAATGGCTGCATCATAGAGTTGAAAAATCATAAGTTTTGATGTAACATATTTCAATTTTTAAAAGTTCCCTGTAAGGTTTATGTATCCACATCTGCTTAACACCATTTTTCGAATATAACATCGTTCAGTATAGCTATAATTTCTCCTTCACTGAGATGTTAATTTTATAGTGGGAATGAAAACATATGAAGATAACGTACATAATTCAAGATAAAAAGTCCATAAAACAATACAAAATAGGAGTAAAACAAACACAGACCTCCAAAACATTGGAGGTGCATGGGATAAGGTGCCATGGAGGAGTGAGCATCCTCTGCCAACCGGTCACACCCGCCGTGTATACTCCTTGTCATGATCGGGAAATAGCGGAAAAATCCGTCGTCAATTCAGTGTATAAATAATGGACTAACAATAAGTTTGAAAAACGTCAGTCAGCATTTAACTCAATGATAAATTGTATTTGCTGACAAGGGCATTGTATCGACCATAGAACTTACGAAATAGTGACTTTACATGAGACTGCTGATATTGTTGTTTCATCAACTTGTTTGTCAACAATTTACCTCGTTTTAGAAATTGTTCATACATAGAGCATGTTCTTGCATATCAAATCACCTGAGATGCATAAACGCCGATATGCAGGTGATGAAGGTATATTGCTTCATAAGTAAGGGAAGTTGACGATAGAAAAGTTAAAGTCATCACGTTTATCATAGAGCTTGGTTGTTAGATTATCATTAACGTCTTTTTCAAGTAAAATATCCAAATATGAAACAGATGTTTCAGACTCTGTAGTATCTTTTATCTCAAGCTCACCAGGATATATCGTATCGACATAAGAATGGAAATTACAATTGTTAAGTGACAATACGCCGTCGATATATCTAAATAAAGAACGAGACTTAGTATAACATTAACTGGAACCCACTAAGTGTCTTTATTTGTAAGGATTTAATAAAGTTTTTTAATCTAGTAAACACATGGTATTTCAAATTCATTTTGATTTTGGGGAATATTAAAATCTGACATATAATTTTTAAAAATTCCCTCCTTAGAACAAATGAAATATCTCGGTTCTTATTTGAAGAAATTTGTTGTAATGACACAATTTTTAAAAAATGAAGATATATGATGTTCAAAATGGGAGCCTATTACATGTAAAAGATACATTTTAAAAAATCAAATGCAGCAGGTGTAAAAATAATATACTAATGAAAGAACAAAGTGGTTATACCAATTTAATATACAAATACTAATTCGGTTTTCGTTATTTTGAAAGCATGTCATTGAAATAAATTTCCATAAGAAAGGAGCTAGGTTATTTCATTCGTTTACTTTGAAAAGCAGAATAGTTAAAAAAAAAAACACACCTCCAAAAAATCTATAAGTTCCATAACTTGTATTCTCTTATAATGATTGCTATAACCTACGATACTTGAATATTTTTTAAAGTTAATGTTTGGCCATTGTTGTGTATGATGCTTACTAATATACAAATTAAGAAGTGTTTGATATTTACTAAAACCTTAATTTTTAAAAAGATTTTCAAAAATCTGTAGATAAGTCTTTAACAATATAGGACAATTATAACTAACTTGAATACTGCATTCAAAAAGTTCCAAATAAATGATTGTACAGAGGGCTTAATTTAGTACAAGACTTCGCCATTGCTATTCCACATGGAATCAAAACTGGCCTCCAGAACAGAATTAACACGTGATGAAATATTAGGATAATCGCCATAGGCAGGTTCGTCCACATTTATAAACTCCTCACTCTCAATAAGCGATACTTTATCTGTAGTAGACACAGACGTCTGACTCGGGGAATGTGAAAACGTAAACGTTGGCATTAACGGATTTTGTTTGTAGTTACTTGCACTCATTTTCCCAAACAGATGAAGAGCATTGTCTCTGTGAAGATTTGAAAAGAAATCGTCCACCCGGTTTCCCTCTAGGGCTTTTGAAGCACTACAAGTCTGCACTGTCTTAGGAACATATCCATACATACTCTCACTCTTGTTTCCTATAGCGCTATGTTCGTGATAGTACATCCTTGGCGTGTACTCACTTCCAAAGTCTCCCTTTGCTCTGATGTTTCTACTGTATCTACTCCCGGTATAATGGCTACTCGGGATACTTTCAGAACGTTCGGAGTTTTGTAAGTTAAATATTTCCTGGACCCTCCTCCGTTTGTTTGGTACAATATTGTCTTCTAGCTTTTGTTCACTTCTGGCTGGGTACTTCCTGTCTTGTTCGCTGAACGAAGCCTGTTTACGTATATAGTCAGTTCCCTGAGTAGTATTTCTGCTTAATTTCCTCTTTTGATGTTTAACGGAGAGAAATCCACCATCATCGTCCGGATTCCTTGATAGCTTGGCCTTGTGTTTTGATCGTTCGTGACGATTTGGGAAGCACAACCAATTGAAAAAGGATGACATCTCTCCAGCATGCTACAACAGTTTATCAAAGATATCCTACCAACTTAGAATTTGAAAACACACTTTTTATAGTTTATAAAATGTAAATTAGTTTGATAAAAGCGTTTTCCCCTTATTTCACGTGGTATATGTACACATCAAAGCTTTAAATACTACAATTATTTAAGTAACAAAAATTCATTGACAAGATTTATTTGTAAATTTCACTTACCAAATGTGCTGCTGTTAACACAGTGTTTCAAGTCTTGATTCAGAGTACCTTAAAAGAACATCTGGGAATAAAGAATGAGAACATTATATGTCAAAGAATGTCAAATAACTGTGGTATTCGCATGTTCACACCTTTGAATAAATTTGTATTCTTTAACATTGTTATACGTATTACTAATCAGCGAGTTACCAGTTTATAAATTTCCAACCATTTTGTCATCTTTTTTTCTGCATTTCTATTGGGGAACTCATTCATACGCTATGTTTGTTGGTTTATACAATGCAATAGGAATGTGACATCCCTGCACCTATTCATAACATTTCTTATATCAAATCCGTTTTAATTCATGGTCTACTTCGAAAAAAATCAAAATGACAAGATGATTAAGCTTCTGAATAATTACAACGCCCATTATGACCTCGACCCAGTATGCTAAGTCTGCAGCTTGGTAAACAATAAGATAATTTACAAATTACCTCTAACTTAAATTGGCTTTACAATTTCGCATCAAGTATTCGTATATCTGCATGATTACATTATATATATTGAGCAAAGTATGTTCGACTGAAGAAAACATTTTAACATTTTAATATTACTTTTTTTCTCCCTTTTTTGGCTGTTAAATCGAAATCGTATCACATCTGCATCAGGTGTAATGTGTTACCTAATTTGACCTTGGAGAGGCCTTAAACTATCAATTTATGCTGATTTTACTAGACAAATATGCATGTTCTATCTAGAACAATTCTAAAGACCGAGGCTCCACCTCTGTAAAACGGCAGTAGACATATAAAAGTCACCAATAAAGACTCAGGACCTTGTTATGATAAAGATCAGATGGTTCTTCTATCTTTAACCTGTATATATGGATGCCTGATATGGCGGTGCTTCATTTGGCACAGATGAAAACGTGGATACTTATTCAGTAAACGCATTTCCTTTTCTTACTTTGATATAAATTTTTTGTTTATATAAATGTCATAAATTTAATATTCGTGATAAAAGTGTATGAGAAGCAACTTCTATGGATTGAAAAAGAGTGAAAAGTTTCATGGTTTACATGTATCTAAAAAAATATAGAACCAAAATAAAATTGGGTCTCTATCATAAGTAAAATAATTACTGCTTTGCATTAAATCATATTAGAGGTATTATGTGGCAGCATTAGTTCATAAGTCAGTAAGATTTATGTATTATTGGTAAGCACTACATAGAAGGAACGGTCATTATTCAATGCGGATTAAAGTATTTATAAAAATTATACAAACGTTATAGCTTTTCATGCTTGTCTTGGTAGAAGTTTCATAACAGTTTAAAATTCTGTACTGCATTGTTTGACTTATTTAAAAATCAATGAGCAAGGGATAGAGAAACTCTTAAACAAAAATAATCCGTGATTATCCGCCTATCATTGGTGTTAAGTGTACATTTATCACCAGTTCCTCAATCTTTGATGTTTGCCTAATTTTTAACTTTTAGTTACCAAATTAAATTCTATAAAAACATGTTAATTTTATGTCTTTTCTAATACTATATCTCTTTTGGAAAAATATCCAGAATTCAACCTCTCAGTTACAAGAGATTTTTTGAATTATTATTTTTATTTGTGGTTAAGGCAGGGAGTTGTATTAATAAGATAATAAGAAGAGATTAGGAACGATTTGAAATCTTGAATATTGACAATTTTAATGTCATTCTTAGTTTATGATAATATATTATACTTCTGTAGAAAACATATATAAATATAAACTGCATTATTCTTATCGTGTTATACGATTTTGCTGAACGTGAACAGGGAGTTTTCCCCTTATACCTACACAAATAGATTAGACTTACCTTAATGTCTTTTCTTACATTGTATGGTCATCTGTATCAAACACAAGAATCTATAAAAAATCAGAACTATATGAAAATACAAATGTCAACCTAGGTTACAGAAAATATTTGTAAATAAAAGATTTATATATAAATACTTACTCACAAGTTTAAATTTGGAAAATAAGAACATCGAGGAGCTTTAAATTTTAAAGGTACAGTTTCTTGTTTTGATTGACGTTCATTTGCTAAACCAGTCCATTACTGATTTAAACATTTCATCAACCGGAACAAGTTAAACGGACAAGTAAATAAGGTTGCCTGTAATGACGACAGACTTTAGAAAATCGTCAATGCTTCTCAGTGTCAAGGACACTCTTTTAATGATTTGAAATAATAAACAAGCTTAAGTTCATCAATTGAAGTCATAATTTGTATAATATGGTATTGGTTCTATAAAAAAAAGATATGTATGTGATGGTTACTTTGGACGTAAAGTACTGAATAATCTTACTGTAACGATAAAAAAAACAAAACTCAGCGCCATCTTTACCAAGGACAATTAAAAAATGATAAATGTTATTCACGAAAAAATAATTCAAATGGTTCTATTTCTAACAATGCATAACTTCAATAATTTCAATTAATGATAGGAATATTTTTTTTAAAAAATGTTTTGATCAAAATAAAGGTAAATTTGTATTCGAAACCATACTGTTTATATTTAAACTTACCAGTACAGTGATATTCCAATGTCACGAATATATCTGCAAAAAGCTTTGCGAACGTTTTATTGTCATAAAGACTACAAAACGCAATAAGTGATGTGGAATAAGAGCACAAACGGCAGGCTATCGAGCATTAATAATGCAGACAGGTGGAATTTCAGCTAGCCATTGATTGACTGCGCTTTAAGTAATCAATCAGCCATGTATTATTTCTGTAGACCAACCAAAAACAATATTTTACTGTGCTTATGCGATGATATGTATTAGGTGAAATTAATAGCATATCATACCTCCGCCCCTTCTTAACCACTAAAATTTTACTTAATATGATCTAACTATTACAGAAAATAACAGTTCTGGAAGAGTCTACTCTCTGTTCAGCAACATACCTTGAATTGAAAAAAATCAAGACCACAAAGGCCAATAAAGATAAAAAATATATAACTTGCAGCATTAGACATAACAAAAACGTGAGACGATTCAAATGGTGCAAATAATACAAATATTTGCTTTTATTTATATAGAACAACCATAAATATGAAAATGTTTATTCACAATATCAACATATGACCAAAGATGACAAAAAATGGGAAAACGTAATTAAAACTTGTCAAACATAATGAAAACATGACAAAAACACAGGATTAGCATTCTTCAGCATACCAAGTAGTACGTGGAACCAAATTTTTAACTATATTAAATTTGAAATTATTAAAAACAGAATGAGCACCAGTTGATGAAGAAATTGATTGAAAGTGAATTTTGTTCACTCATATAGAGAAGTCTTCATATACCGGTGAAGAGCTTCAAAGTCAGACTTTAACTCGGCACTCAGAACCACTGAGCAATAGGGATCTTTATCGTACCAACGTCAACTGTGACCACGGTAGCCTAGTGTAAAGAGTTCGCTTCGTGATCGGGAGGCCCGGTTCGATTCTCATTCGCGGCGCCGCTCCAAACCTTCTTTTTATTAATGACCTGCCAGACCATGTATCCAAAAATTCAACGGTCCGCCTATTTGCAGATGACTGTGCCTTATATAGAGACATCAAAAATGAGGATGATGCTACACAACTCCAGAAAGATCTAGATGGACTTCAAAGATGAGAGAAAGAATGGATGATGGAATTTCATCCAGGAAAATGTCAGGTCTTGCATGTTACCAACAAAAGGAAGGTTTTAAACGTACCATACGTCATCCACGGTCATGTCCTCGAGGTACTTGAAACAGCTAAATACCTGGGAATCCACCTCCATCAAGGCCTGAAGTGGAACCATCACATTGACACCATTGCAAAGAAGGCCAATTCCACCGTCGCCTTCCTGAGACGCAATTTACACCAGTGTCCATCAGAAACAAAGGCCCTATGTTATCAGACCTTAGTGAGGTCCATCTTGGAATATGGGAGTGCCATCTGGGATCCTTACACCAGGGACAGTATTGGCAAATTGGAGATGGTCCAAAGACGAGCTGCCCGTATGGTAATATCTGACTACAGGACAACTAGTAGCGTAACACACATGCTAAAACAGCTGAGATGGACATCTCTTCAGGAGCGACGTGGTCAAACAAAAACTGTTATGATGTACCGCATAGTGTACCAGCTCATCGACATTCCACCACTCCTCCTGTATCCAGCCACTAAAACCAGAAGAAACAGCATGATGTTCCTAGTTCATTATGCCAGAACCCTCGTGTACCATAGAATCTTTTTTTTCGGATGGTATTCGTGTGTGGAACTCTCTTCCAACATCCCTTGTTACTTCCACCTCCCTAGATAGCATCAAATCGATGATATTTAGACACATCACCCGACCGTAAATCCAACCAATATATTTTACATGCACTGTAAATATATCTATTCTTTTAATTCACCCTTGTTTTCCTTGCACCACCACGCGCCAGTACGATACATCAGCAATTCTGATTAGTACTTTATTGGAAGAAGAAACCTACGGCGTAAACATAGGAAGTGACTGCTCCTTCGCCAATCGCTCGGCATTAGATGTGAAAGTCACGGATCTTTCGGATATGACCTTAAAAAAGTAGATCACGTGTCACGGCAGGCGTTGTCACGATAAAAACCCTCACTGCTCAATGGCCCTGAGTGCAGCGTATAGGTTTAAATTTAAAGCCCCATACAATGATGTCTCTATATGAGTGAAAAAATCTCCAATGGGATGTTAAACAATGTACAATCAATTAATCAACTGTGATTTTTCAAGGTCTCATCCAAAAGACCAACAACTTTAACTCCAAACTACCCAGCACTTTGCAAAGGAATAATTGTCACTCGTTTGACTACATGATTGTCTATGTTTTATACCATCTTCGAAGTTTCCTTAAAATCTCTCCATACATTTAAATCAGAGTCTTCTCTGTTCTGTTTTTATTTTGGCCAAAGGAGTCGACAACAGGAACATATTTTAAAGTGTAAAAGAGCATTCGATATAAATGTGAATGTAAATAAAATAACAAATGTAAGTTATATGGTCGATGCAATGATCATGTCAACAAATATTTTGTGACCGGTCGGCAGGGTATGCTCACTCCTCCATATCATATGATCCCATCTCTGGTGTTTGCTTTGCTCCATAATTTGTATTGTTTATCATTTTTTTATAGGTTTATTACTGTTCATTCATTCATCTTTTATTTCCTCCATTACGGAGATTAGAATCAAACATACAACAAATAAGTTACAAGAAAGTGGAGATATATATGTACATAAATGTAATGAGAAGAAATGAATTAATCGAAAGGAAAATATTAACATATATTTCGAATATATGAAAAAGTTTTAAACAAATTCATTGATGGGAGATTTGAAATTATGTTACGCAAGGAGTCTATTGTAGACTGCACAACACGTCACTATGTGGTGTGAATTCATTTTTCTGAATTCGATTTCTTCTGTTTGAGTATGCACAGTCAGTTTTTGTTTTCCTAAGAGTATTAGGAAAAGGTCATCCTCCGGGAGGCCGCTGAGTTCCGCTTCCAGTTGTGTGGGAAAAGACCTGGACAAAGAGTTCCACCAATTGGAGTGCTGTGTTGTAAGTACCGGACACGACATGGTAGCATGCGAGAATACATAGGTAATAATGCCTCCACACAACATACAGGTTATTGGGGTCTGTAGAGGTTTGGAAGCTATGAGTTTGAAAGTAAATTTGAGGTTTTGAATTTCACTGAAAGAATTGGTGTATTGCCACATAAGAATTGGATTGGATGTGGAGAAAACAGTATTAAAGCGAAAAAAATCCGGACCGTGTTCTGTCCGTTCAATCCGTTGAAGAGTTTGGTACTTGTAGACAGATGAGCGCACTATCGATTTCCAGGCGGATTTTGACGTGAAAGATCCATTTGAAAGCCAAGTATTTAGAAAGCCTGAAATTTGGTAGGTCTGGAGAAGATGTAGGACATCAGGAATAAAGCCCATCTGGGTCTCACTTAGATGGTACAGAAAGGAAAACAGGCGTGAGGTAAAAATCTTTTTAGGGAGGAAGTCAGCATTCATCCGGCAAAGTCTTCCTAAGAAGAGGAGTTTCCTAGTATCGATTTCTGCATTAATTGGTAGAATGTTCATGTATTGTACGCAGCTATCCGATCTTCTAAGTTTTGGTAGGTTAAAGACCTGCTTGCAGATTCCATGTTGGAAAGTGTTAAGACGCCTTTCGTCTTCTTTAGTCATGTGATCCAGGTTTCACACCCGTAGAGAACAGATGGTAACACTACTGATCGGTATAGGTGAGCCATCGTCAGAGGATTAACACGGGATATATCTAGGTCGGACAAAGCGTAGAAGGATTTCCATCCTTTGGAGCATGCCTGATATATTCGAGATTTGGATTTCGTATAAGAGCTGATGGGTATACCCAAATGTTCATAAACCGTTCCGTATTGAATTTTAGATTGACCTAAGTAAATGTCTACCGCTGCGGGTTGTTTTTTGGGTTCTTGCACGGAATGACAGAATGGATGATTTAGATGCGTTGAATTCGAATCGCCATTTAGAGGCATATTTAAAGGCAGTGTCAAGCATTGATTGTAGAGCGCCTGGAGATAATGCGATGCAGGCTATGTCGTCTGCAAGGGCTGGTGAATGGTATTTTCTGTCAAATATTATAGGGTGGTTGGAATTCAGTGATTGAAGTTCGTCTAGCAGGTCATTGATGAATACTAAATATAAAAACGAAGATAACACGCCCCTTGTCTGACGCCTTGTTCGACTGGAAACCAGGGTGATTTAGTTTGGTTGACTATAACTGCACTCTCCGTGTTCTGATGACAGTCGTCAATGATGTCCCGTATTTTTCCTCTAATGTTAAGCTTGTGCAATTTACACATGAGGCCTTTCCTCCAAACAGTGTCAAATGCCTTGCTTGTGTCTAAAAAGGTTATGTAAACGTTACTGCCCATTTCTATGGAGATTAAACGAGGCAGTGAGGCAACCTAGTTCTTTCTTGAAGCCTTGTTGCTGTAAGTTTGGAAATGGCTTACTTAAGGACAGAGAGGATATTTTGGCTGATAATACTTTTTCAAATATTTTGAAAATACATGGTAATAAAGCTACTGGATGGTAGCTGTTACAAGAGTTTTTAGGTTTGGTGCCTCCTTTGTGAATCGGAACGATAAGTCCACGTTTCCATTGAGGTGGAACGAAGCCAGTGTCAATGATTGCATTGTATAGTTTACATAGACATTTAACAATGAGATTGTCAGAATGTAAGATGTGCTCGTTTGTGATATTGTCAGCTCCTGGCGCTTTCCTATATTTCAGAGAAGACTTGGCAGTGATGACGTCATCGTGTGAAATGTGGGATGTGTGATCTTTATCAACAGAGTTTGCTTTGATTTCATCATAAGTGGAATGAATTAGATGTTTAAAGTCGTTATCAAAAGAGTCATTTTCGCTGTTACGGTAGATGTCTTCATAAAAGTCTGCAAACGCATTTGCAATTTCATTTGGTTCTGTACGAATTTCTCCTGTTGCATCACAAATTTTGGGATAGAATCGAGAAGATCTTGGACGTCTTTGCTTTATGATTATCCAAAAAAGGCGCAAGTATAATTCGGCGGCTTCGTCTATTTCACGATAAACAGACTGAATGA